GCACAGATATGCTGTCTCCAGGCGCAGCAGATGAAGCACCTGCTTCACTGCTGCCCGAAACCCTAGCCGCGGCTTCCCAGCTACAGTGAAGCTCCAGCAGCCTGGCGGTGTCCACAAGAGCACTAAACAACTTCTCAGCAAAAGGCCTCTAACCCTTTGGGCCAGTTCTTCTTTTCTTTATTCTCTTTTTCTTTTTTGAAGAAACAGGTCCTTATGGCCTTGGCTGCATTTCCATTCTGGGGAGCATGAGTCTGGTTCCCTTTCCACCGGCAGGTCATATCTTTACAATATTTACACACTCACATTTCCTTCCATTTGGCCGAAGGACCCCTGAACAGCATTGATTACTCCATTGGAGGATTGACTGTCAGCTTGCCATTCTGTTCTCACTCCTCTCAGACCCGTCCCCAACATCTGTCGAATAAAGCTGTACGTACAAGAGTGAGTTCGGCAGTCCTCATAGTACGGCCCCAAGTTGTGGTCTCCAGAGGATTGCCACAGACCGTGTCTTATGTCCAAATGGGATCCTGGGCCTCAGGCTGTTGGCTGTCTTGTCTTGCAGTTGGATGGGTCCGGGTTGCGCCAGTCTTCCTGTTTGATGACCATGCCTTGTATCAGAGCAACCTTGCCTTTTGCCAGCCATGTCCCCTGGAACTTTGCTTTTTGTCGCCTTTCTGACTCTGGGTCAGCCTGAATTAGCAGTTTCACCTTGCACCATTTATACAGGATTTCTGCCTCGATGAGATTCTTGGTTGCTGCCCAAACCTTTTCTCAGGGATTCCTTGTCTTGTTGAGTCTGATGCTGCACCTCTCTTTTCATTTTGCCCATAGCGTCCCCTTCTGTATCAAGTCATACCATATCTGCTCCGGCTTGCTAAAATCAGAGGGGATGTTAGTCCAAAGCGATATGTGGATGGGGTGTTCTGGAAGGAGGGAAAAGAACAATCTACTCCACAGGTCAGCAGCTCTAGCCCAAAACTAGGCTGCTTCTTTACATGTGGTGAGGCGGTGGATAATGCCTTCTTGTTATTGATCCGCGCAGACTAAGCAGCGGTCAGAGCTGTTAGCATCGTTCTTCCTTCTTATGTGAAGAAGCCATTGGTTGACGGGCAGGGCTGCATATGTTATGAGCGATGGGAGGCTCCTGCATCTGATCATCTTGTATTTCCTGCACGGTATCTTGGCAATCTGTTTGGTTTCGTCCCCAATCAGTCGTCAGTCGTGACCATCTTCTGTTAATTGTGGGTGTTGGTCTTTTGTCTTCAGTAGCATTCTGTGGCCTTTTCTCACCATGTAGTTATGGGGATAGGGTTCTTCTTTGAGTTCACAGGAGGCCTCCAGCATCATTCAATTGGGTCAAATTCTAGATCTTGAACAGCGGTTTCCATTTGGAAGATTGATTTTCACCAGAGTCCCACGGTCTGCATTTTATGACGGAGAAGGGCTTCCATGCTTTCAGTCTCGGGTTTTGAATTGTTTTTTTTTCAGGAGCCTGGTTTCGAGTGGTCAATGGGGAAGCATGTGAAAACTGCTCGGTAATTGTTAAGTCCCAGTCTATGGGAGAACTGATACGCTTTCTTTGGTACTGCCTCTTGCTTGGGAATACCCCACTCTCCTGATGTCCATGTGAAGTCCTCCTTGAGACGGTCAGTCCAGCTCTTTGGGATGCTGTTGATAATGCATCTCAGGTTTTCGGATAGGTTGTGGACTGCAGGAAGGTGTTTTCTTAGATGTTGCTCATCGATCCTTTCCTGTTTGTCATGATTCCAGATATGGCTTATTTGAAGTTATTTTCCTAAACCCTTTAGATATCCATGATAGCCACCTGCCATCTTTGTTTGTTAAGGTCCAGCGATGGTCACCCCCACCCTGTATCAACATATTTCCAACAGGGGGTTCTCTAAGGACTTCCTCTTTCAATCTCAGTTTGTGAGTTTTCTGGGGCATTATTTTTGTCACCCCCACCCCGTATCCACGTATTTCCAATGGGGGGTTGTCTAAGGACTTCCTCTTTCGATCTCGGTTTGTGGGTTTTCCGGGGCATGATTTCGCCCCAGGTTCTAATAGAGGAGGTCCCGTAGGGTACAGGGGTCTTGCCAGTAGCCACTGCCTCACCCCTTGGCGTTCCTTTTGGTCAATTCGTCCTTCCTGTTTTCGAGGTCCGGTCCTTAACCATTAACCAGAAAAACCCTGACATGTCATAAGCGACTACGTTGGGGCTAGTTTACTAATGCTGTCTTTTGCCATATGAGACCAGGCCAGGTTCTGTCTCGTTAACAGTTTGATTATCCATTCGACCTGCCCCGCATCTCTTCTTCCTCCCTCGTCTTCTTCGCCTCCTGCTCCAATTCTCCCTTCTCTTCTTTGCTTCTGCCTGCTTCCTAGCTGTCTCTGCACCGCGAGCATCCACCGTGGGGATGGGTGGTCCAGTACCTACCGCTAATGCCTGCGTTTGCCCCCAGGAGGACTCCCCTGTCTCTCCCGCCATTCCTTCTCCTCCTTTCTTCTCTTCATCCTCCTCCTTTTCTTCTTCTTCCTCCTCCTCTTCTTCTTCTTCCTCTCCTGCTTTCCCAACCTTTTGGTGCCTCCTCTTCTTCTGAGGTACCTCATGATATCTTGGGTCCCCTGGTTGTAAGGTTTGTCTTCCACTACAGTGCTCTATTGCGGGTAAGTGCACACATCGCCAAAACCACAGGAACAACAGGAAGCAAAGTTGGGGTTGGACGAAGATAGATATGGCCAGAATGGCAAACATGGAAAGCCATCCATTTCCGAGGGATTACATATCAGTCAACCCAGTTAGGCCCCGGTCCACAGCCTCCTAGACGTAGACCTAACCCTTCTTTGACTTAGGTCTGCTAACTTTGACCTAAGTGGCAGTGACTTACCCTAGTTAAGGTTGACTTAACCCCTACTGACTCAACTATTGGGGTTATGGCAGAATACCATAGACTGGCCACAAGCAGTTTTAGGACAGCTCAGAGGTCCTCAAGAATTCTTTGCTGACACATACGTGGTATCTCCACTTCCCCCCAACAAGACTGGTCAATGCTCGTGCTCATGTGGCTCACATACACGGCGGTCAGTACCGATCTTTGGGGCTAGACAGGTTGTTCAATGAGCGCTCGTTGCTCATATGCCCGTGTAGCTACTTAACACGAAATTGCCATCAGCAGGACGACCCTACCTATCTACTTACACATGCAACCTACCTAGCAGACTTAAGACCCAATTGAGATCAACAGCAGCTCAACCCAGGAAAGACCAACATCCAGACGTCAAGGCCATGCATGCTGCTCAATCAAGGCTAGGGTTGTGATGTGCTTCACTTCAATGCTTGATGAAGACTCCACGATGCTCCACGCTGCAGGTAAGTTCCTCCTCCTCCCTCGCTGACCACTTCATCCTTCGGTCTACCCTAGATTCTTTTTTTTGGTTGATTGTTACCGCCTCATCTCCCGTCGGCCTTCTCACAAGCACCTTCTCACAAGCAAACCCACTTCTCATTCCGACTAGCACCTGGCTGAAGCCAACAAGACTCTGCTCCCACTTCACGCTCCATTTTCCGCATACATAATCACACAAGTCTTCACAACAATAGGCGAGATTCACATAATATGAGCACACTTTGGAATTATCTGGAAATTTGATGCTATATACATGACAGGACACTAGGGCTCCAGCAGCTAAAGCAGGTCTCTCTCTCTCTCTCTCTCTCTCTCTCTCTCTCTCTCTCTCTCCCCTAATCTACCCTCAGGCCTCGCTATCCCTCTNCTCTCTCTCTCTCTCTCTCTCTCTCTCTCTCTCTCTCTCTCTCTTGTAAAAGCTCCGATCTATTCGTGGGGTTCGCTTCTCTCTCTCACTCTCCCTCTTATCGTCTTCTCTCCATCCTATCGTCTTCTCTCAGGTACTTGCTATGGTGCTGGGCACTGTTGACTGCTCTACCCTTGACCCTCTCTCTCCCTCTCATCTGCGGCTTGGTCACACAATAACGCAGCAGCACTTCCGCAACAGTCACGAATGGAAAATTGTGTTGATGCTCGCTGCTACTTCACGTTTGCACTTGCCGCAGTTCCAAAATGAGACTTGTGGCGTCGGTCCCTTTCTGCCTTGGCCAGCCATCCTCAATGATTCAAACCGTCCTACCGGTAGGACTTTCTTGGGACTGAGCTGCAGCTGACCGAGACTCGACAAACGGCTGTTTCCTAATGACTGACTCTTGCGGACTGGTTTCTGTACGACGTACTGTACACTACCCAACGGAAGTTTCTAGTGTGGATCTAGGTAGGGTCTATGGTACAAGGGAGAATTGGTACTTGGTACTGGGAGTGGCCTCTGAGATGTGTGAATCCTTTTACCAGCAATCAATGGAAAAAAGTCCTACCCTCGTTATGGTCATACCAGACTGCAAAGATAGCAAAGGAGGGCGAACAGAAGGAAACAGGTGGAAAAAAGGATGAAGAAAGAGAAAAAAGGACAACCATTAATTTCTACGGAAAACACAAAATCAACAGCCTCTTTCGCCATCCACTTTTTCAGGAGGAAGCAGAGTATAGAAAATGTTGCAGTATAGAAAGAGTCATTTGCAAAATTGCAGGGATGTAGTTCCCACCTGCAGACTGTGCATTCATAACAAAGACGCAGCAAAAAAAGACAGAAACAGACCCATAAGGAAGGGTGAGAAAAAGATGTGCGCGAAAAGAGTGCCACTTTTTGCTCTTCAACTACTTTACACAAGTTTACAGGGCTTTCACACACAGATCAAGAAACAAACCTTTGAGAAGGTGGTCCCCCTAGCTTGCACCCACTTCACTTCTCCACCAGCCATCTCCTCTGGGATGGGTGCTCCAGTGATCCTTCTCAATCATCACATTCCATACTTGGCAAAATCCTTCATGCCCCCCCCCCCCCCCCTTTCTCTCTCTCTCTCTCTCTCTCTCTCTCTCTCTCTCTCTCTCTCTCTCTCTCTCTCTCTCTCTCTCTCTTCCCTATTTACATGCCGACCTGATGCAGCTTGATTTCCAACAGTCCACAAGGCACATAGTCTAGTGTAAAGTTGAAGTCGAAACTTCAACACCTTGCTTGCGGTGCGAATCCAATTTGCATGTGCCCCGTTGACAAGCCACAGCTCTTTGCTCTTGCTTTCAGATCATCACACGCCGATAGAAATGAGCTTACAAAAGGACTTCTATCTACCTATCATCCGTCCACTTTGTACACCAATACACAACGGTCCACCAAAGAGAGACCGCCACAACTTCACCAACCAGTTCACAGAAAACTCTATCTTGCCTGGTTAAGCCCGTCTTCTTTTGCAGAAAGAATCTGTGCGCTCATATCTAGATTTCATTCAGAGCAACAGAAATATTCATGAAAAGAAGCAAGTATTCCTCCAAGACATCTCAGTTATCTCACCTTCTGCAGATGCCTTAACTGCTCCCCATCCACTTATGCGTACTACCGTATGGAGTCGACATCCACAGCACACATCACGTCCACCATGCTGGTCCTTTTGCCCAATCTGCTTTTTCTCCTCCACAGATGGGCCTATCCCGGGAAGTTGATAGTCTCCATGCAGTACGGAGTCTACGGATTTCGCGACTAAACGTGCTGTAGTTGGAGAAAAAGAACGACCCTGCCAAGGCACAGATACTCAACTCAACAAGCGAGATTACTTGTGGAACTTGGCGCTGCTCTTCAGTTAGATGTCTATTCCAGTGTCTTATGGGCATTTTCTCAAGAGAGCCCTCCCCGGGACTTGAAAGCCGAACAACTTTAATTGGTGGACGGTCTCTTTCCAACAGGACAATGAGTTCTTCGACCTCTTCCTCTTGTGCATCTGTTGCAAGGAACAAGAGTTCAGACGCTTTAGTCGCCTCCAATTGTCTACGGATGCACTTGGCAAGCTGTGGGAGCGGATAGAAACAGCTGCTGCGACCACACGCCTTCAAGAAGTCCCCACGCCGCAGATGAACACCAGTGTACCGCGAACCGAGAAACGTACGGATGAAATTCAGTGCGACTGAAACAATCACCTTGTGAGGTTGCAAGATGGATCCTTTGCAGGATGTCGTCCATGGCTCCCGACCATGCTGCATCGCATTAGCCTCCTTCGATAAGCTGACCCCAAACAACTCACCAACACTCAGCACCTCAACGTCCAGACTGAACTGCTGAAAGAACTCGATGGAGCTTTGCTCCTTTTGTCGGGCGGTCACAACTTCACTCTTGCCAATTGTGATTCCAGTCACATTCTGGAAGACTGAAATACCCTTTGCGATCGACGGGTTGTGGCCATCAAAGAACCTCATCACGTCCACATGGTCATCTCCATGCCTGAGTGTCCTGAAGTCCTTAAGGCTGATAACTGTTGATGGCCCCAGACACCTCCAAATACGAGGGACATCAATGAGGATGTCAAAAGGCAATCCCAGCTCTTCGAGTGGGAACACAAGGGTTCGGTTCAAAAAGGTCGCCGCAACCATGTGGTTCATAATGCAAGACAGCCGGTTGCACAACCGTCCAGCCCCACAGATCATCATCAAATACCTATTCCGCGTTGGGCACCAAACAAGGCTGTGGCTGTGCAAGGTCCCTCCAGGGACAGCAGCATCCTGCGCTCTACATCTCCCATCAGGCGGGATCCAGGAGTGTACCGATACCGGAAGCAAGGGCTGAGAATCACCTTGTTTATCCACAGAGGGCAAGGCATGCGGAAGGCCATCACCCTTCCTACGACTGGCAGCATATGGAGAAACCATGGCGGTAGGAGAACCTTCGATAGAATCCTCCCCCACCATCATAGAACTGTTCAAAATGGAAGGGTGAAATGGGACTTGAACCCGAGTCTTAAAGTACAAATGGTCATCGTTCAAAATGAAGTCCGGCTCTGCAATCTCCCTGCTATGAAAGATCAGCATGTGGCTAACAAGAAGTGTTGTGCTCAGAAAAGCCATAGCTGCAATGCACCACCACAGAAAGGACCGCATCTTCCAGAGTCTAAGGTCAAAGACACGCCAACACCAGACCTAAGCCAAAGAGCACTATAATCTCTTTGCTGAGAGTCAAAGATACCAAATAAATCCAAACACGCACTACTTGTATAGCAAAACAAAAAGAAAAAAATGCTATGGCTGCACTCTCTCTATGGTTCCATCCACATGACAAACTGCCAACTTTCACTGCCTGCAAATTGCTGCATCAAGATCGCATTTTCTGAAGTGCACGGACCGCAGAGAAGCACGCAGGGAACTTCTAGCCAAACACTGTAATTGTCACTGAGTTCAACTCAGGGATGGAAAGCAGGCCCCAGTCATCTACAAGAAAAAGAACTCCGAGAGTCGGAGGAAGGCAACACATTTAACATTGAATTGTGTGGCCCCGGACAAGAACAGACGAGCTCCTTCCTTGGGGAGGCTTAGTATAGGGGCATTATGCCCAGTCGCATTGGAAAAAGAACAAACCTGAAATTCCCAAGGGAAGGCCAGAAATACAAGATAGAACACAAGATAGAACTCCGAGCAAACACCTAAACAGCTCATGCTAATTACATTTCCATCTGAAAGCTCATGTCCTCAAACCAGTTCAGTGCCCACAAAGAACATCCGGCCCCGCAGGACCTATTGCTTCAACCGCGCCACTGTCACAGGCACATGCACTTGACTACCCAAGACAACACGGAGTCCTCCAGAATGCAGCATCAGATACAACGCAAGGTCAACTTAAATTGTGCCTTCTTCCCAGCATGAGAGACGAGTTTTCAGTCCCTCGACAACAAGATCTGGGTCCGTCCATCCCAAAAAGAGACAATGGAACGTCCTTGAGCATTCACAAGCCCTCTGTGTGTTCTGAGCGGTGACGACCCATCAGGAGGAGTCGTCGGCAGATCCTCCAAAACCTTTGTTTCCCTGCCCGCAGTTCTCTAACCAGTCAAGCGTGCACCCTATTCTCTCAACAGTGCACCCTATTCTATCAACACCCTATAATGTAAGAACGCTGCCTAGGCCGAGTTGCAGAGGCTAACGTTCCTGTCAGCCTTTTACTTTCCTATCATTCCCTTCACAAGCTCCATTTCCACTGCCTTAGCTCCCTGACCACAGTTTGAACCATCATTGCCCCTCCCTCACCACAGTTTGATCCTAGACTACAGTTTGAAGTTTGAACCATCAGTGCTTCTCCTGGACTGCAATTTGCGCCGTCAGTGCCTTACAGCACCCGAGTGCTCCTGTCCGCCGCTGGTTCTCAGAAACACCCACATGACATGGAATCCTCACCCTGCAATGACAAGCGGCCATCTGTGCAACGCTTGATCAACAGATTCTAACAGCAAAGTTTGGCGCCTTTTCTCTCAATCGTACGTGTGAGGGCCTTCCATGGCACTATAGACAGCTACTTAAGACTAGAGAAGACCTCCCAACTACAGGTGGCTTACAGCCACCAAGCACAAATCAGGTGATAGGGACTAAAAGATTTGATAATCTCTTGGCGCCACCAATATAAGCACAGATGTGAGAACAAAGATCAACAAACATAGATCATGATTGATACATGTACACATATTTATCTGTCTTAGAGCTGTTATTATGGGCAAGCAGAATAAACAGCGAGTTGTAGTTCTTTGCAAATCGGACTCCAGCTGAGCACTTCATGTAGTTTCCATACCATTGCCATTCCTTCACGACCAGCATCGGCCATCATCGGTCTGACAACTTCTACTCCGTTGTCACTCCTTTGTGATCAACGTTGCCCGTCATTGGTCTGACACTGCAGTTTTGCCGCTGCTTCAGCATTTCAGTCACTTGGTGCACCATTCCCTACAAAACCGCCTTCACAAAAGGCCGATTTTCAACACTAGTCCAAGTGAAACATCATGCTTCACTAAGCATGCTGCTTGGCATTTCTTTTCTTATAAGCCACGCTAAAGATTCGCCTAAGATTCTTCTTTACATTGCGAAAATGTTGCCGATTTGCTTTTCCCATCACACCTACACAACCACCATGCTAACCTCCTCCTATCAGCATCAAGTTGTACAGACATGCCCCACCTTCAGACGGGATCAGAAACATACAAGACCGCTTTTAGACACCCGAACCACATGCCAGCTCTCTACACTCCATGCTGTGTCTGAATTTTCTTCACACATCAGCTTTACCCACGATTTCCTTGCAATGGCCTAAATTTACGCCTCCTTCCTGGGCCCTCTCCACATCGTCTTCACCTGAACACAACATACGGTCATCCTAGCGGTATTTGGGGCAACTTTCGGTCTACTTACAGTAATAATGACGGTGTGTTCAATTCACAGAAAGACGGTTGTTGCACCACTGTTTCTTTCTTACATTGCCAGAAGAAGCTAGGATTGAGGATCAGTACTTTGTGCCCTCATTCTCGATCTTTTGCAGAATTCTGATATCCCATTCCGTTGTTTGGACACCAATTTCAGCCACCACCATTGACAAATCACTGTCACCCACCAATTCTCAAAAAGCACCCACGTGAGACGCAATCCTCCCCTTGCAATGACAAACCGCCACCTGTTCAACACTTGACAAGCAGATTCCGACAGCGAAATTTGACGCCTTTAGGGTGTGCGACACATGAACTCTTTCAACCATATCTTTGAGAGCTGCAGTAGAATGGCCCTATTTCAAAAAGCCCACAATGTCATGAAACCTCTCTACTATCAGAAACACATGAAAAGGACTGGGCCTCGGACAAGGTTCCAGCATCATACACAAGCCTTGAACGACGATAACACAGAAAAGAAGTACTAAGAGTCACGTTAAGGGCAACACAATAGATAAGGGTGACATATCGATCACTAAAAGTGATTGCTCACACACACACACACACACACACACACACACACACACACACACACACACACACACAGAGTAGAAGGTCATGGCATCAGATTCACGAATAAGGTCATAAAGAAGAAACAGTGGGAGGTGACCTTGGGTGAGGTGGGGGAAGTTTGTGGATGCCGGGGAGGAGGTGGGCGACCTTCTCTTCTTTCTCTCTCTTTCTCTCTCTCTCTCCTGTCTCTTATACACATCTAGATGTGTATAAGAGACAGGCCTTGGCCTTTTGCAAATTGCAATAGCGCCTAGGAAAAGTTGGCAAGTACTGGGGCATTTTGCAAAGTTGGACGGTACCCGGTAGGGGTATATTGCAAAGATGGGGGTCCAACTGACGCTGTGGGCATTTCAAAAAACATCTTTTTTTGTCAGAGGGGTATTCCGCTCTACCCACATCTTTTAGGGGCATTTTGGCATTTATCTCAACGTAGGGGGGTATTTTCAATTTTGCAAATTATCCCTTATTATTCTTATCATTTGTTTTCCGTATTTTATTTTTATTTCAAATTTGGTAAAGAACTTGGATGGAACACTGAGGCAAATGTTGTTCATTTTATTCTTCTGCATAACATATATTTTTTTCAGATTGTTTGGAGTTTTTTTTTCCTTTTTTTTGGTTTTGGGTCCGCATTCGGCCTGAACGGCCGAACGTCTCTACAGGGGGGCCGAAACGTTAGGGCGTTCGGGTTCAGCCGTTCGCCGGTTACCATGTGTGGTGCTATATTATAGATCAGTCCCTTCGAGATCTTACTACTTGGTTCTGTCCCAAATGTGGTGCTTAATCGGTATCTCTACTATCCCCTGAGGGTCTTCTTGGACATATCCCCAAACTCCTCTAATAGCAGCTCCACTTGGGGTGGCACTGTTTCTGTGTCCTCCCTTGACCCTCTTTTCTTAGCCTTCTCCTACTTCTCAAGCGTCACATACGCCACGTAGACCTGATCTACTAACTCCTTCTCGACTGTGTATCTCGCGAACGGAGGGGGCACGCGTACAGCATATTAGGACTCGACACTGGACTGGTGACATTGGCGGATTTTCTTTTTCTGGTCTTCAGCTTGGCTGGGCAAGCAACATTCTCCTTCTCCCATTTTTACATATGCCTTTGCTGCCTTCCCCCAGTCCATGCCTAGAACCATATCACAGGTTAAAGAGTCCAACACTCTATCTACTTTCTCTCCACCCTCCAACCAGAAGTACTCCTTTACCCCATCCAGGTACTGCCCCATGCTCACCGGACTATTGTTTGCCATTCTAGAGATTACAGGATTACGGGTCCCTGTAAATCTTGCAGTTTCATACCTAAATGCAACTTTTTCACTGCTCTATGGGAGATATAACGCCTCGTGGGCCCACTAACTTTGCCTGACCTATTCTCATTCTACTGACCTCTACATCTGCTATAACTAACTGCCCTGGCTCCTTCTTTGGTGTCCACACCTCGTGAAGAGTGATCAGTTCCTGTCCTGCGTTTGTCAGGGGACGCTCAAAGAGTATCCACCTCTGGGCAGTTGCGTAGCCGGTGGCTGTGTCAACCTCTGCCTTCGCCTGCGAGAGGGAAGCGGTTTCTGTGCACTCCTCTCCACCGTGGCCGCTGGGACTCTAACAGGTTCATTTGCTTCTAGGGCTCTCCTTCCTCAACCCGGGATGTGTGGGAAACCTTCTCTGGGCACGAGGTGCAAATCTGCCAGCTCCTCGTTGTTGTGGTGGAAGTTGCCAACCACCATCTCGTCCTTGTGGTTGGGATCTTCCTCCACCACTTCTTCCCTGTGGCCCTCCCCAACGGCCTGCAAGGACAGCATAGTCCCCTCTGCTATGTGATTGATTGAGAACCCAACCCAGCAGAGCATCACCATGTTCCCACAAACATGTAGAGATGACCAAGCAGATTTGGAGAGGGATTCGCACCACACCAAACAGAGATATGCACAGCGGAAGTCCAAGTCCCTCGACTAGAGTCTGCCTCCTCCCTCCCACGCAGCCTCCATAGCCGGCTAGGGCGCACAGCCCAATGTCACAGCGCCCTGCCTCACAACCGAGTGGTGGTTAACGGAGACCCAAAATTTCAGCATTTTTTCAATGCTATTTAGATTAAAAAAAGCGAAGGCATTGTTAACCTGTGTTAAACT